AAAAAAAAAAAAAAAACATCATGACAAAGTGGGTTTCATACAAGGGATACAAGGATGATTCAACATCAGAAAAACAATCAACGTAATCCATCATATAAATGAGAAAAAGGAGAAGAACCACATGATCATATCAATTGATGCAGAAAAGGCATTTGACAAAATCCAAAATCCATTCCTGATAAAAAACACTCAACAAAGTAGGAATTGAAGGGAAATTCCTCAACAGAATCAAGAGGATATATACGAAACCAAGAACCTACATCACTCTCAATGGAGAGAAACTGAAAGCCTTCCCTCTGCAAACGGGAACCAAATAAGGATGCCCTATATCACCGCTCCTATTCAGTATTGTGCTGGAAGTTTCAGCCAGAATTATACAGCATGATAGAAAAATTAAAGGCATCCAAATTGGCAAAGAGGAAGTAAAATTCTCCTTATTTGCAGATGATATGATCCTATACATGAAAACCCCCAAATACTCAGTAAAAAAAACTACTTGTTGTTGTCAGGTGCCATCGAGTCGGAACCGACTCATAGTGACCCCCCATGCGCAGCAGAACGAAACAATGTCCGATCCTGGGCCAACCTCACTTCTGCCGCCACACTTGACGCCATCAATGATGCCACCTGGCTGATCCATCTTGTTGGTGGTCTTCCTCTTTTTCTCTGACCCTCCACCTTACCCAGCATGACATCTTTCTCCAGCGACTGTTCTCTCCGGACAATGTGTCCAAAGTATGAGAGACGAAGTTTAGCCATCTTGGCCTCCAAGGAGCACTCTGGTTGCACTTCTTCCAAAACAGATCTATTGGTTCTTTTGGCAGTCCATAGCTATGCTGATATGCAAATGTTTTGCCACATAATAATGCACGACAGACTTAGGTTTCAAAAAGTTTGTGCAAGATGAGTACCAAAACAACTAATGGAAAAGCATAAACGGAAGCATTCAGACATCTGCAAACAAAATTTGGACCTATCCTCAAAGGAAGGTAAAAGTGTCTTAAAAAATAGTTATTGGTGACAAGACATGCATTCATCACTACAAGTCTGCACACCTCTGCCCACTCTGTTGGCACTGTAAAGACATCATTTTGAGGTGTTAAAACACCCTTCTTATAATCCTGATCTTGCTCCATCAGACTTTCACCTGTTTGGTCCCTTGAAAACAGCCCTTGAAGGATGAAGATTTACTTCTGATGAAGAAATGAATAAGAACAGTGGCGCGTTCATGACTTGCAGCTCAGCCTAAAACATTTTTTAATAAGATAATATGAAAGTTTATTGACAGATGGGCAAAGTATATTGAAAAGAAAGTAGATTATGTTGAAAAATGATGCATTTGTCTTTGCTAAAAGTTGTTTAACAAATTCTACAGCCAGAGTGCAGATAATTTTTATCTCATTCTCATATTTTAAAAACAAATGCATGATGCCAGTGAAAAACCATGATGGTACTTCAAAATATAACAGTCTCTAAAACTGTGAGAATTAAAACAAAATTAAAGCAGACACATTGCAATGTAGTGATTTAACACCTTAAAAATTTTTTTTGTAACATTACTTATTGCATTGAGCAAAGATGTCACCTTGAAGACGAAGGTGCGCCTAACCCAAGCCATGATATTTTCAGTAACATCATATGCATGCGAAAGTTGGACATTGAATAAGGAAGATCGTAAAAGAATTGATGCCTTTGAGTTATGGTGTTGGAGGAGAATATTGAAAGTACCACAGGCTGCCAAAAGAACCAACAGATCTGTATTGGATGAAGTGCAGTCAGAGTGCTCCTTGGAGGCCAAGATGGCCAAACTTCATTTCTCATACTTTGGACATATTGTCAGGAGGGACCAGTCGCTGGAGAAGGAGATTGTGTTTGGTAAGGTGGAGAGTCAGAGAAAAAGAGGAAGACCCCTAGCGAGATGGATTGGTAAAATAGCAGCATCAGTAGGCTCAAGCATGGCAACAATTGTGAGATTGGCCCAGGACCAGGCAGTATTCATTCTGTTGTACATAGGGTTGCTATGAGTCAGTACCGACTCGATGGCACCTAACAACAACAATAACAACAAACCTTAATAGTGAAGAGTTGTTTTTTCTATCGAGTTCTGTGACATTAAAAAATTACTTTATTCATGTCTTTAAAAATCTGTGAATTAAGTGTTACCCCTTTACTAACTAATTCTATAATTTAAGCAACTTTATTTACATACAGAATGCAAATGTTGTTTTCCTTATATCTAGTATTAAGTTTCATCTGGCATAATTTGATGGTAAATCACTACAGAAGCCTATCTAAAGTACAGCAGGTATGGCCTGTGTCCTGGACGCCACTTGAAGTACTGCTGACAATTTCCTTTAACCATTGCGGTTTCCACTGCCAGCTGTGAAATATCATTCATCAAGTTAAAAGTACCTCTTGGTGTGTGAGAACCTCCATGGGTCAGGGGAAGAATCATGATGCTGCTTTAACATAAACTCTGGACTACTAACTGCAAGATTGACAGTTCAAACCCACCAACAGCCCCTAGGGAGAAAATGAGGCTTTCTGTTCCTATAAAGATATACAGCTTTGGAAGCTCTTTCTAGGATCTCTGTGAATCAGAATCAATTTGATGGCAGTGAGGTTTGATGGGTCATGGCAGATTCTGTGACTCATTCTCTACTGAGTGTAGAAAGAGAAGAAACTGAAAAAAACATGACCATATCCTTGATCAAGTTTTAAGAAAGATGCAGGTTTAATTTTCATGTAGTGCCACAGTGTGTTACATAAAACATTAATGAGCTTGACTAGTGTTTTTGAGCTGATACTATGTTAAAGTTATCTAGAAGATGGGTGTCAGATATTTAGTTATTGTTGTTAGGTGCTGTCTAATCAGTTACAACTCGTAGCAACACTATGCATAACAGAAAGAAACACTGCCCAGAACTATGCCATCTTCACAGTTTTTGTTACGCTGGTGCCACTGTGCCAATCCATCTCATTGGGGTCTTCCTCTTTATCACTGACCCTCCACTTTACCAAGCATGATGTCTTCTCCAGGGAACTGGTCCTTTCTGATAATATTTCTGAAGTATGACAGACAAAGTCTCACCGTCCTGTCTTATAAGGAGCGTTCTGGCTGTAATTCTTCCAACACAGATTCATTTGTTCTGGCAGTTCATGGTACTTTAATATTCTTCTCCAATGTCGTTGTTAAGTGCTGTCGAGTCAGTTCCAACCCATAGTGACCCTGTATAAGTTGATTAATGTTGTTATTGTTAAGTGCTATCCAGTCCGTTCTGGTTCATAGGGAGGTTGTATAGGGTTTCTTAGGAGCAGCTTGTGGGTTTGGACCACCATTTTGCAGTTCAAACTGACTTTGTAGTCAAGTGCTTATCCTTGAGCACCACACCAGAGCTCCACTAAAGGTGATAGAATTCTTCAATTTTGTCATCACTGTAAATTTGAATAATAGTGGTATTACCTGGTCTTCCTTGTGTGTGAATGGATATTATCCTGTCACAGACTGTATTGTACTTCAAGATAGATCTTAAAATATTCTTTTGGATGATGAATGCTGCGTCATTCCTTTTGAAATTTGTTGTTCTGGGCATAGTAGACCATATGATTTTCAGATTCAAAATGACCAGTGTCAGCCCATTTTAGCTCACTAGTGCCTAGGATATCTGTTTTTATGTATTCTATTTTCATTTTTGACAACTTCCAATTTTCTTAGATTCAGACTTTATACATTTATACTTCATACATGTCCCAGTTACTAATGGATATTTACAGGTGTTTCTCTCTTTTTGAGTTGTGCCCCATCAATAAATGAAGGTCCTGAAGACTTTATTACATTGGTGTCATCATGGTCACCTTTACTCTGAGGAGGCAGCTCCTCCCCAGTCATGTTTTGAGCCTTTCAACCTTAGGTGCTTATCTTCTGGCACTGTATCTGACAATATTCCGCTGCTATCCATAAGGTTGGCTAAACATTCAGATGTAGTCCACCTTTTCTTCTTCCTAGTCTTTCTTAATCTGGAAGCTCTCCTGAAACCTGTCAACCATGGGTGACCCTGCTGATATTTTAAATACTAGTAGCATAGTGGTTACGAACTGGGCTGCTAATCTCAAGGTCAGTAGTTCGAAATTACCAGCAGTTCCATGGAGAAAGACGAGGCTTTCTGTTCCCATAAAGATTTACAGCCTTGGAAACCCTATGCAGAGTTACTAAGGGTTGGAATTGACTCAACAGTACTTAACAACTAGAAGCATAGCTTCCAGCAACACTCAAGCCACCACAGTACAACAAACTGACAGACAAGTGATGCTTAGATATTTAGACAGGGACACAATTCCAATGCTTGCCATAGGCACTATTTGTGTACATAAGCCTCTGCATAGTAGCTGAGTATTCACTATGAGAGGTATACTGTGTAATACTTACGTGTTTACCATTAAAATGTAAATCTTTGATGCCTTCATACTAGTCTCTATGTGAAGCAAACTCAGATTTAAAACTGTGATTACTAGTTGTTATGGTGATAACCTGAAGTTTTTTGGAAAAGTGTTGTATCTTTTCACTTGACTTTTACTTTGAGGATGGCCATGTTGAAGGAACCCATAGATTCTCAACACGAAAGTGCCCAAATTGACTCCAAGAACATTGTTTATAACTTAACTAAGTTATATACCAGTTGGCCTTATATACCAGTGGGATAAATTTGTCAGGTATATAAATACAAATAGGTGCTCTTTTAAAATTTTGTAATTGATACAAGTACTTGATTTCATTTTCCAGACATTTGTATGTTGTGTATTCATTTTTATATAATTTTTTTTCTAAATTTTCTGTAACCAGCTAATAATGCAATGGATTTTACAACAGTGAGATTCCTGCTTCAGGACTCCAAAAGTTTGTTACATGCTTTCAGTACAAGGTCAAATTATGATGGTGTTCTTCCACAAGCCTTTGCTCAAGTGAACAAACTGCTCCAGACAGTCACAGAGGTAAGACCCCTTTGGAATGCTGAGTCAGAATCAGCTCAGTGACAACTAAAAACAACAAAAATCATGTAAGTTTTAAAAATGTATTTAGAAGACAACAGTAAATAAAAGAATATCTTAATTTTAACTTAATTCTGTCATATTAAAGGCAGTAATTATTAGAGAGGGTTGGTACCTGGTATCTTCAGTTGCAGAACATACTCGTTTTTGTAGGGAAGAAGTGTCACAGCAGTTGTTGGGATCTTACATAATTTTATTTATGGGTCGAAGAAAGTTATGCAGTCGTCTTTGCATACTCATTCTCCTGACCAAGGGATGTCAGCATTAATCAAAAACACTTAAGACATTTATTCAAACATGCAGATACCATACCCCTCCCTACCTAACCTTAAATTAGATTTCTGCCTTTGAAAGTTCCCAGTCATGTTATGGAGTCTTGGTGTGGCGCTGTAGGATAAGCACTGGACTGCTCACCATAAGGTCAGTAGTTTAAGCCTACCAGCTGCTCCTTGGAAACCCTATACAGGGTTGCTATGAGTTAGAACCAATTTGATGACACCAAACAACAACAGCAAATGTTTTACATTTTATTTTGAAATAATTTCAAACACATGAAAGTTACAAAAGTAGTACAAAGAATTCCCATTTATATCCTTTACCCAGATTTCCCAAATGTTAAAATTATATCACATTTGCTTTGTTGTTTTCTTTCTCTCTGAACTGTTTAAAAGTTCATTGCAGATATTATATGCCTCAAAAACAAGGAAGTTATTCTACATAACTGCATTACAATTAGGGAGCACTGGATTATAAACTGGGCTGTTAACCACATGGTCAGCAGTTCAAATATCCCAGCTGCTCCACAGGTGATAAGGCTTTCGCTTCCATAAAGATTTACAGCCATGGAAATCCTATACAGGGTTGCTGTGAGTCGGAACCGACTTTATGGCACACCACTACTGCCAACACAGTACGATTAATCAGGAAATTAACATTAATAACAATACAGTGATCCAATCAGTCTGCTGACCTTTTCCTGTTTACCTGCTAATTTTTAAACATTTCTCATGTGATTCTTATGCAGTTAGCCTAGCACCTATGCCTTGTTTGACCTCTTTTTAATTTATCTATATGAATTTTTTCTCTAGTTACACTCTATTCCTTCAGCCTTTTAATTTTATATCTAGAAAATTCTGAGAGTTTTATATGCCAGAAATAGCTCAGGAAACTCATTTTCACAATTACTAGTTAGGAAATAGATGAAAATGTCATCTCATACAGCTGTCCTGTTCTCCTGTTTTCATTTAAGGAACTGCATTGGCTAGATTTTTCTCGTTGAGGTTTGAGGGCTAGATAGGACCTGTCTACTAACCTGTGATTAAACTTAGTCACAGTTGCTGAGGAAAGTAGAGAGAGCATCTCATAGAGCAAAAGAAGTGTCCTTTTTATAAACTAATAGGGAATGTGTGATAATTCTGGAGGAAAGAATTGATTACAGGGGTGAAATTATCCTTTGGTTTGAAATGACACTCTTTGGAGTTTCATTCTCTTTTTTTTTTTTTCATTCTCTAAAAAAAACAATAAATAGACTTTTAGATCTACTAGTAGGAATGAATACACCCAGGATTTAGGGGTCTGCAGCTAAATATTGTACATGAAATGTTTGGGAAAAGATATATTACCCTTTTCCATGATGGAATTGAGCCTTAAACCACATCCTTAATGAAACAAACAGTGTACAAGATGGAAAGTTCAGGGTACATACATTCGTAACTAAAACCAAATCAAAGCCACAGTCATCAAGTTGTCTGCAACTCATAGTGACTCTGTATAGGATTCCCAAGGCTGTGATTATTTACAGAAACAGAAAACCTCATCTTTCTTCCTCAGACCAGCTGTTGGGTTTGAACTGCCAACCCTGTGGTTAGCAGTCCATTGCTTCTACTACAGGCTTGGTAGTCTTTTAGTAAGAAGCTTGAGAAAAAATTAAAATGTAGCATTGATTGGAATAAATAAAAATGATATCCAGTTTTAAACTCCTTTTATCAGTTGGAAACACATGAAACCGTGAAAATATGTTGGTAAAATTTAGTGTTTATTACAAAAAATAGTATGCCTGTTACATGCTGCCTACTGTGCATTTAAAAATAATGAATTGCTGTTTAGTAAGTTACTGATTCCTGTGTCTTAAATTTCCTTGGCTACCTTAACAAATGGTTTGTAAAGGTGGTTGCTGAAAAGCTTAGCATTTTCATTAGATCTTTTCTCCCATCACCTGGCATTAGTGTGATTGATTGAAACAGTTTGTGTTGTTTCCAGAATTAGAACTCTGATGAGTTGGTTGTTTATGTCCATGTTAGAAACAGTTCACTGTATAAATCATCCTGGACATTATGATTCAGTTTGGGCCTCTAAAATATACTTTCAACAAGAGTTTTTTTGTTTTTATTTCCAAAACTAATTATTTTATATTTCAGTGAATGTAGATATAGCAAAACATCTATCAGTTCAACAATTTCTACATTTACAATTCAGTGACATTGGTTACATTTTTCAAGGTGTAAATCATTCTTGCTAGTCTTCCAAATTATAGAAACTCACTGCCTCCTAATTTTTAATGTAACTTTTTGTGTTGCTTTTTGTCATTTTGATCCTATATAGTTATTTATTAAAATACAATATGCAAAATAGACATTCTTTACTAATTAAGCTAAATTATTGTTTGGATGAAAGAAGACTTCAGGGATATTTTTGGTTTAGTGTTTAAAGATGATTTCAGGGCAATAGTTTGAAGATTTCATCCAGCCTTTATGGCTCCAAAAAGTCTGGATTCCATGAAAATTTAAATTTTGTTTGTATTTTTTATCAGAATTTTTCTTTAGAACTTCTGACCAAAGTGTTCAGTTATGATAGTCAGGTACCACCCAGTTCTTCTAATCTGCTGGCAAAGGAGAAGGCAGTTATTCATGGAGACCATTACCCAGGCATTCTCTAGCCGCCTTTCCCTGATTCTCCTCCTTCCTTTGCTCCAGGTAAATAGACACCAACTGTTGTACCTTAGATGGTCATTTACAATCTTTTGAGGTCCCAGGCTTACCAGTTGTTTTGTAGAATGCATTAGATTTGATATATGTACCAGACACCAAGTCTTGTCTCAGAAATTTATGCATCAAAAGAAATTAACTGTTTTTAAAAATCCACCTAATCTTAATTTGGTGAGTAAGGTGGCTTCCTATGATAAGCACTGGACTCTGAACCAAAGGTTGGCGGTTTGAGCCCACAAGCCTCTCTGTGGGAGGAAATAGACTCTCTGCTCCTGCGAAGATTTAAAGTAGGGGTGAGAAACCTTTTTTCTGCCAAAAATTTTAACGCCATACAAATTTATGAACTTAAAAAAATTAGCCTGCTATATTTGGCCATTTAATTAACTCATCTCTAATGTGATGGCTCAGAATTGACTCGACAACACTAAACAACAGTAATATGATGGCTGGAACTCTGGTTTTCAGGACTAGAGCAAATGATTTATCGGGTCTTACATGGACCATGAACCAGACGTTCCCTACCCCTGATTTAAATTCTTGGAAACCCTGTACTGGATCACTGTTAGTGGGAACTGGCTCAACAGCAATCTTAATTTATCATGTATAGAAAATTAGGAGAAGAGTAATAGTATGTATTTGCTTCTGAGAAACTGAAGAGGAAAGATAACTATTATTATTTTCCATGCGTTTATATCTATGGAGGGGAATAGAAAAGTAGTATGTACATTTTTCTTTTATTAACCTTCCAACCATCAAAAAAGTAGTATGTACTCTACTAAGATGATAGAACAATTAATATCAGTCATGTTAATAAGCATTACACTTATGTGCCTCAGGACCCCCATCCTGACTAGTTTGTTGTTACTTAATCCCTTTGAACCTCAATTCCTTCTTTTGTAAAATGAGTATAATAATCTCTGCCTCAGACTTGTCATGAGAGTCAATAAATAATATTTACAAAGCCTAACATATAAGGAGCTCTGGTAACGTAGTGGTTATGAATTGGGCTGCGAACCTTAAGGTCAGCGATTCGAAACTATCAGCCACTCCGCGGGAGAAAGATGAGGCTTTCTACTCCCGTAAAGATTTACACCCTCGGAAACCCTGTACAGGGTCGCTATGGGTCGGAACCGACTCGACGGCACTTAACAACAACAACAACATATAGTAAGCACATCTAAATGTTTGATAAAGAAATCTGTTTGTATTGTTTATACACTTCTGTTTAGGAGCTGAGGAAAAAAGACATTAGGTGTATATATGCTAGGTCTTATTTTTAAAGTATGTGATAATTAAAAGTTATATAAGGAAAAAACTTCTTTTTATCCAAGTGTATTTATTAAGACAAAAATGGGAACAAGAATTATCCCTTTTTTCTTCCTGTTCCAGAAATAGAGGATAATATTTTTCCAGTTGCTGAGAGCTCACACTTTGGTTCAACAAATTTTCTCTTCTTAGAAGGCATTGCTGCTCTGTGTACTCTCCCATGCTTGTTTTTCCTTGTTGTTTGCCCTAATTGGCATAGTTATCTGTTTGCCTTATGATATCAGTGAGTCAGTTTAGTGTAGTTGGTTAAATGAGCACAGGCTGAACCTGTATTTGCTGAAGATCAAATCCTATTCATGCCACTTACCATCTGTGTGACCTTGGATTAGCTGTTTAACCTTTCCACTCCTCAGGTTCCTTAGTTATACACAGTAGATAATCATAGGATCTGTTTCAGAAGGTGATTGTGAGGATTAAATAATTAATGTTGTCATTGTTATTGTTAGGTGCCATCGAGTTGGTACCTACCCATAGCGAACGAAACACTGCCTGATCCTAGGCCAACCTCATTACCATTGCCACTCTTGAGTCCATCGATGCTGCCACTTGGCCAATCCATCTCGTTAGGGGTCTTCCTCTTTTTCTCTGACCTTCCACCTTACCAAACATGATATCCTTCTCCAGCAACTGGTCCCTCCTGACAATAGGTCCAAAGTATGAGAGATGAAGTTTGGCCATCTTGGCCTCTAAGGTGCACGCTGGCTGTACTTCTTCCAAAACGATCTATTGTTTCTTTTGGCAGCACATGGCACTTTCAATATTCTCCTCCAACACCATAACTCAGAGGCATCAATTGTTCTGTAGTCTTCGTTATTCACTGTCCTGTTTTTGCATGCATATGAGGTTATTGAAAACACCATAGCTTGGGTCAGGCGCACCTTAGTCCTCAAGCTGACATCTTTGCTCTTTAAGACTTTAAAAAGGTCTTGTGCAGCAGATTTGCCTAATGCAATACATCGTTTGATCTCTGACTACTGCTTCCGTGAGTGTTGTCATTGTTAGGTGCCATCAATTCTAACTCATAGCGACCCTGTATAGGGCCTCTGAGGAGCACATGGTTAGTTTGAACCATTGACCTTGTGGTCGAGTGCTTATCCTAAAGTTCTAGACCAAGACTCCAAACTAAATTAATAAATGTAGAATTATTAGAATAATTCCTATATAAAGCAATTGCTCAGTAAATATGAACTGTTGTTACTAATGACATTGGAAGTAAACTTTTAAAGCATTTAATAACATGAATAACCTATGAAACTAAAAACCTGTGAAACTTACCTTTGAAATCTTCCTTTTTTAACAAGGAAATTTAAACATGAAGAAATGGAGTGATTTAAGTTCACAAATAAGTTACTATAGAGCCAAAACTAAAACCTAAATTTTTAAACTTATAGTTAATTTTTTTTTTCATTTTATCAGGCTTTTTTTTTTTTTTTTAATCTAAGTTAATGTTTTCCCCCAAGATGATACGTTTTATGAATTAATAATACAGCTTTTTTACTTGGCCTTCAAATTTGCTTAGATCCCTTCTGTTCTTAAATACTGTTCGTTGACCATATAGTTTTATTACACTATATCCTTCTTATAAGCTTCTTAAACAAGCACTCTATAACCGTTTTGTCCATTTCTTTAAAAGTTGAGTTTTGTTCCACACTATTAAGAAATGATTAAGTGTCATTTGCTTCCTAATGATCAATTCTACCCTTTCTCTCTTCTACCTTCTCAGCCATTTTTATAAGCATAGAAAATATACATTAAAATTTTTCTTGCTATTATATTACAGTATCTAATATATGCAGTATGTTTGGCCCTCATCAGCAAAGCATAGTTCAATTTGCTGTTTAAAATTGCAGTGAATGCAGCTCATTAAAGTAGCATTTCATCACTTCATGCATATCCACTTTAGATACTTTGCTTCAAGCTATTTGTGTTCTTGATTTTTTTTTTTTTTTCCACTGAATAAAACTACACCCTTATATTCCCTTGGAGAAGTAATCAAGGAACTCAGTCTATTTAAGACACATTGGGCACACACACATGCATATTTTCCAGACTTTATGGCCACCCCAAATTTCTATTATTCTTATAGCATTATTCTTCTAGCATCTAGGTTGAAAACAAATCTTAAATTCTCCCTTACTCCTGGAAACTAGTCTTTGGCCAAGTCTGTAGTTATACTTTTATACTTTTAATAGTTCTTAAATACATCTATTTTATCATTCCACTACCTTTTTCCGCATCGGTCTAGTTCTCAGATCTCCTTTACTGGATTCTGTTAATACTTCTCTCGCCAATCTTACTGCCTTCACTCCATTCCAGTTTATCTTACTTTAAGTTACAGTTTTGAATATATCACTACCTAAATTACAAAAACTTCTAGTGGTTCATTATTGCCCATAACATAAAGTTTAAATAATTTTCTTGCCCTTAATACTACTTTTTTTAGTGATATCTTTTCCTGGTTCTGATTTGAGGATTATGCTTGATTTGTAAAATGTTTCAGGAAGTTTTCCTTTATTTTCTATTTTCTGAATTAGTTTGAGTAGAATAGGTATCAACTCTTCTCTGAAAGATGACAAGTAAAGCCATCTGGTCCTGAACTGTTTTTGATTGGGAGTTTTTTGATGACCTGATCTATATCTTCCTTTGTTATAGGTCTGTTCAAGTTTTCTGTGTTACTCTGTGTTAGTTTATGCAGGTCATGCTTTTCTAAAAATGAATCCATTTCCTTGAGACTTTGAAATTTGCTAGACCACAACTCTTCGTAGTACTTCGTTATTATACTTTTTATTTCCATTAGTTCTGTTGTAATGTTACCCATGTGGTTTCTTATGTGTGTCATTTGTGTCTTCTCTTCTTTTGTTAGGTTTACCAATGGTTTATCAATTTTATTTATCTTTCCATAGAACCAGCTTCTTGTCTTGTTGATTTTTTTCTATAGTTTTTCTGTTTTCTATCTCATTTATTTCTGCTCTAATATTTATTATTTCTTTTCTTCTGGTGGCTGTAGCTTTACTCTGATGGTCTTTTTCTAATTATTATAGATGCTGTGTTAATGTGTTGAATTTGGTTCTTTCTTCCTTTTGAATGTGTGCATTTATTGCAATAAATTATTCTCTCAGCACTGCTTTTGCTATTTCCCAAAGGTTTGGGTATGATGTGTTTTCATTCTCATTTCTTTCTAGGAGTTTTTTTTATTTTGCTGTTTATTTGTTCTACTACCCAGTAGCTTTTAAGCAGGGTGCTATTTAGTTTCCATGAATATTATTTTGTTTTCTTGATCTTCCTATTGTTGATTTGTAATTTTATAGCATTGTGGTTTGAGAAGATGCCGTATAATATTTTGATGTTTTTAAATCTATGGAGATTTGCTTTGTGGCCTAACACATGGTCTATTCTGGAGAATGTTCCAATGTGCACAGAAGGAGAATGTGTATTATGCTGCTTTTGGGCTGAATGCTCTATATAGATTTATGAGGTCAAGTTGGTTGATTGTGTTCAGTTCCTCTCTGTCTCTGCTGAGCTTCTTTTTAGTTCTATCCTTTTTTGAAAGTGGTGTATTAAAATCTGCCACTATTATTATAGAGTTGTCTATTTCTTTATTCAGCTCTATTAGGGTTTGCTTTATGTATTTTGGGGCCCTTTCTTTGGGGGGGCATAGATTTTTATTACGACTATGTTGTCTTGTTCAATTGACCCTTTAACCCTTTAAGAAAATGACCTTCTTTGTCTCTTATGCTGGTTTTTTGCTTCAAAGTTTATTTTGTCTGAGATTAATATTGCTACTCCTGCTTGTTTTTTATTGCCATTAGCGTTGTATATATTTTTTTGTCCTTTCATTTTTAATCTATTTGTCTTTGTGCATTAGGTGTGTCTCTTGGAGACAGCATATTGAAGGATCCTGTGTTCTTATCCATTCAACTATTCTCTGCCTCTTGACTAGTTCATTCAATCCATTGATGTTCTGTGTAATTGTTGATAGGTATGGATTAATTGTTGACATTATGCTGTTTGTATTTTGTGGAGTTGCTGGTTTCTTTGTTCTTTATGCCTTCTGTACTGAGTTCATTTGTTTGTGTGCTTTTTCTTGTCAATTTGTTTATAGTGTTAATGTTTCCATAGTCTTTTTGGAAATTTCTTTTCTTGATTTGATGTGGAAATATATTAAGCTTCTTTGAGGTTTTATTATGTTTTTTATGACAGTCTGTTTTATTCTGAGATCTACATGACCTCCTCACCATCTGGATCTCTGTTACTAAATTCTTTGCTTTTTTCGCTTGTAGTTGTCCTGTTCATAGACTTACCTCCTAGATCCCCTTGTTTCAATCTAGTAGTTTTGTTTTGCCCTGCATTCTTCCGTCTCTGGACTGAGTTCCAGGTGGTTGCCACATATATCAATCTCTGGTTGTTTTTTCGTATTCTTGTTTCTCAGTCCAAAGAACTCCCTTTAGCATGTTTTGGAGCACTGGCCTGGCCTTAACAAAAGCCCTTAATTTCTGTTTATCCTGAAATGTTTTGATTTTGCCATCATATTTGATTGTTAGCTTTACTGGGTATGGGATTCTTGGTTGGCAGTTTTTCTTTCAGAGTTTTGTGTATGTCTCCCCATTGTGTTCTTGTCTACATGGTTTCTGCTGGGAAATCAGAGCTTAATCTTACTGACTTTCCTTTGTAGGTAACGTTCCTTTTATCTGTAGCTGCTTTCAGTATTCTCTCCTTGTCTTTGAATTTGAAGAGTTTATTTATGGTATGTCTTGGTGATATTCTTTTGGTGGTCTATTCCTTTCTGGGATTCGTTCAGCTTCTTGAACGCATAACTTCTCGTCATTCATGATGTTAGGGAAGTTTTTTTTCCAGCAGCTCTGCAACTATCCCTTATTACTATTTTTTAAAGCAGCCTTTTGTAATCCTATTTGCTTTACTGGACTCTAAAGGAGCTCTGGTAGTGCAGTGGTTAATAATCAGGCTGCAAACCGCAAGGTCAACTGTTTGAAACTACCAGCTGTTTTGCAGGAGAAAGATGAGGCTCTCTGCTCCCGTAAAGATTTACAGCCTTGGAAACCCTGTACAGGGTCGCTATGAGTCGGAACCGACTCCACGGCACATAACAACAACAACAAAGTGTTTAGAGGCTTGATCTATCATATTATCTTTCTTTATACTCTGGGTATTCTCTGTCTAGCCCAATACCAACCATAGAAGTAAAAGTGTTTTAACAATATTGTTTAGTTGACATCAGCATTTAGCTAAGATTGGTCATATAATAAGCAGACTGGAAATACTGTTTGATTAAAATGGAAAAGAAAAATATAACATCTAGTTCCGATGCTCTTCTGGGCACATTCTGTACATGAAAAAGGACCAAGAACAGCCAGCACTTCGCTGAAAACTGTAACATTTGTAAGCAGAGTTGGCATTCTGCTTTGTTCACTTATTAGAGAAGGACTAGTTGCATGTTATACAATTCTTATTTTCCCAGGTCAAGTCAAAACTTAAGTCAAATCCCTCAGAAAACACTGTCGGTAAAAAGCAGGAAGATACTTCTTCAATGAAGCCTAGTAATCAGGAGATTACCTCTTTCTTGGGTTCTCAGCTTCCCCAACCCAACAGGCATCAAGAAATCTGGTCTGTCCTAGAGAATGTTTGGATTACAATATATCAGAACAGGTACTTTTCCCCAAAGTGTTGAATTCTAGATTTACAAGTCTGGTGTTTTTTTGTTGTTGTTGTTTTGTTTTGTTTTTATGATATTGAATAATAAATAATTGAGTTGTTAGTTTAATGTCCTAGCTTCACTGATGAGGCTCTTTTTGGCAAATTGGTTCATTAGAAATAGTGATTCTTAACTGGAGATGTACCATCAGAATTACCTGGGGAGTTTAAAAAAATAAGCGCTGACCATAAGGTTGATTTAAATTGCAAGGTCAGCAGTTCAAACTCACCAGCTACTCCTTGGAAACCCTATACAGGGTCACTATGAGTCCAACCAACTGTATTGCACTTAACCACAACAAGTTCTAGTATGGTACTGTAGGATAAAGCACTGGACCACAAGGCCAATATGAATCATGAGGTTGGTGGTTGAAATGTACTAGCGCACCTTGGGAACCCTACGTAGGGTCCCTATGTGTTGGAACAGATTCAGTGGTAACAACAGAAACAACAAATTCTATCCCTAGATATTCTGATTCACTAGGACTGATTCACTAGCACTTGAACAATGCATTTAAAAAATAAATAAATCTCTCCTAGCCCTTCAATTTAATTTCAACTTCGTTGTATCTTCTTTCCTGAATAAATTTAACTCACTGCAGAAATGGTTGGGGGCTGTGTCTGACCTCCTCTGACTTCACAAGAGGGAAGGAGAATAAAGCTCAAAATCATCCCAAGGACAATTCCTACAAAGGAGAGGTTAGACATGCCTCCATCCTCCAAGTTTCTCTATCTTATTCTAACACCAACCCTTCCTCCCACAGTTCTCTGCTTCTCTGCTGGATTTGAGAATGCTTTGCAGTGGCCACACAGAACTCACACACAATACTCAAAACGATAGAGTTTATTAAGGAAGTTAACGGTATAATTCCAGATGAGAAACACTCAGGGTACAGCAGTTCTCTGGTCAGGAGAACCTCTTCTCAGTCATATAACAGTCATGCCTCTCTTATACTCAGCCTTTCAGCCACAGCTTCTGGGCCTCTTGCCCTGATCAGCCAATTGTTTCAAAGCCCCTTTAGCCCTATAGATAAATGCCCAAAGAGCACCCTATTCTGAAAACCAGCCTCTTGCCAAAAGGCCCTCAACCTTAGTCAGTCTGTGGATTGGGAAGCTCGCTGCTCGTCTTTCTATGCCACTGCATCTGCTGCTGCCTCTGCCACAACTGTGGCTCTTCACACGTCTCTCGAAGTTCAAAGATGAGCTCTTCTGGTAGCTCTTCTTTCTTGATGGTACTGATTCTGAGACGGCTCCTTTTAAACCTAGTGCAATGCAAAATTACCCACTCCCCACACTGGAGTCTTTACACCCTATTTGCATGGTGCCACCCATTTATTAGGTGGTTGTTAAGAAAACTAAGGAGCTCTGGTAGCGTAGTTGTTACAAGTCGGGCTGCCAACCTCAAGGTCACCAGTTCAAAACTACCAGCAGTTCCGCAGGAGAAAGATGAGGCATTCTGCTCCTGTCAAGATTCCAGCCTCAGAAACCCTGTGCAGGGTCACTATGAATTGGAACCAACTCCACAGTACTTAAAAACAACAACAACAGTTATGAAAACTAGCATAAACGAGCCATAATTCACTGTACCACACGCTTTTGCTTTGAAAACCCTATGCAGTTCTTCTCTGTCCTGTAGGGTCATTGAGTCAGAGTTGACTCTACAGCCTTCGGTTTTTATTAGGTTGTATAAGTAATTTAAAAATATTTTTAGTGTTTAAACATTTTTTATAGATGGCATAAACATCATTTTAATGATTGTTTAATACTGTATCAATTGACTGCAACAATGAACTGAAACACACCAAACATCAAGCATGGTGTAGGACTGGGCTATTTCATTTTGTTATGCTAAGGTCACCATGTGTCATCAGGTACCTAACAGCAATTAACAACAGTAATACCATATTACTGTATATTTACTAGTTGTTACCCTTTTATAAATAATAATTAATTTATAGTAGATTTATAGTAGTAGAATTACCATGATAAAGTATATAAATATAACTTCCAGTTTCAGCAGTCTCATTCCTAGCTTTTTTCTTCTTCCTTATATTCTAAAGTAGCAAGTTGAATGTAGATTGATGCTTTTACTTCCCCTGTGTTTTCTCTGGTTTCTTGGAGTGAAACATAACCATACAGTTTTTGCAGTACATATTACTTTAGATTATACCTGTATAGTTTCAGATCTAGATCCTTTGCATGTCTGTAAGCTTAGACTTTCACATCACTATCTTTTATCTCACTGATGTGGTGCTACAGGGATGCGCTGGCTTGCAAGGTCAGTGGTTCAAGCTCACCAGGTGCTCCCCGGAGACCCAATACAGGGTCGCTATGAGTTAGAATTGACTTGACTCAACAGCATTTAACAACAACAACAACAACCTCTCGTTTATAATTTAAATAGATCAGCATTATGAGAGCTATTATAAGTGTGATTTTGTACAGACAATGGAATTTTAGAAATATTTTGCATTACTATGTTATAGTAAATATGTGTGCGTACCTATGAGCATCTTATCTTTTTCTGTATTTTAGCACAGATGTTTTTCAAAGATTGAGCTCTACCTCAACTCTGACTACTGAAAATGTAGCATCATTTGAAGAAGCATTCATTTATCTTCAAAAGTTACTGACTGCTGTGAAAGATATTCTTGAAGGAATTCAGAGGTAAACACTACTTTAATTTTTAAAGTTTTATTTATTTATTACTTTCCTCTTCTAAGCTTAAAAGCGGTTTCAGAATCGTTGGGAATAAACTACTAGTGACTTTCAGTTTCACAGATTTCTGCTTCCCCTGTGAAGAGTCACTATTTCTAGTTTAGACTATAAGAATGTTTCCACTTTATTTGTTTCTAAAATAAATATAACTTATTGTAAGCTTCATGAGAAATGTTATTTTCTTTACTGTGTATAGATAGCAGGCATGTAATAGGCATTCAGTAACCAATTGTTGAATAAATATATGTGAAAGTAATATATTTCAGTATTTGTTGACATGAATGACTTTCTCTAACACACAGTCTCACATTATTAAAATCCAAACCCATTGTTGTCAAGTCAGTTCCAACTCCTGGTGCCATAGCATTTCCGTGGCTGTCATCTTCACAAAAGCAGATTTCAAGGCCATAGTACTGCTGAGTGGATTTGTGCTGTCAACCTTTTGGTTAGTAGTCAAGCACAAACCATTTGTACAACCCAGGGACCTTCCGTACATAACTAGAAATGGAACAAAAGTTTGAGAAGCAATGTAGTCTTAGGATGCCTAGAGGCTTTATACATATTTGATTATTTTAAATATTTATGAAGTATAAAGAAAACAGTACCCAAAAGATATAGACTGGAACATTACCTTTATAGCATGGTACTAAATGCTTGCTTTTGTGGCACTAATGGAAGAAGGTAATTTTAAACTTAATCTTTCAATTTTGTCATTACATGCTAATAATGATTAACCTGAATTAGATATTCAGTTTGTTTCTAGAAAAATAAGGAACTCTGCTGGTATAGTGGGTTACACATTGGGCTGCTAGCCACAAGGTCAGCAGTTCGAATCTACCAGTGCTCCTCAGGAGAAGGATGAGGATTTCAACACCTGTAAAGACTTACAGCCTTGGAAACCCTATACAAAGTTGCTATGAGTCAAAACTGACTTGATGGCATAGCACCACCACAACCACCAGAAAAATATTGTTTTTTACAAATTAAACAAACAAATTTAAATTTATTTTAGGGTATTCCAAATTTGGAAAGTTTGTATTTTCAAAACAACATACTTTTTTCCTCTTCAAATAAATAACATTTTAAAGAAATCTATCTTGTTAATGCAAAAAACACTTCTAATTTCATTTGGATCACAGTTGGCTAAATGCTTCTTAGAATAGAAAAATTAACAAAATTTTTTGCCACTTTTTAAATGACTAATTAATTGAAACATGGCAAATCCCAAGGCAAGTTAGATCTCATGTCTAAGTGTAATCATTGGACAATCTCTTTGATATCTCAAGCGAGTAAAGTTTTGCTCAAGGTAATACAGAAATGGCTACAATCATACATTGACAGAGAACTTCC